TAACTTGTGTTAGATTAGGAAAAGCATGTTTAGTTGACTTGATTGCCTAATTGCTTGAGTTGTTTTGACTGTTCTACGTGAAGCATGCTAGGCTAGTTCTATCTGTGTTGTATTTCGTACTTCATTCCTTGGTATATTTCTGGCTGTGGTTGCGCATTTACATTGGGACTACGGATGTGAGATTCCGGTAGCCCCCCCCCCCCCCTGTTTGTTTACCTTGGGACTACGGGTTCGATTCCTGGTAGATCCCCTTGCACTTTTACTTTGGGACTGCGGGTTAGATTCCCGATAGATCCCCCTGCATATTGATGGTTGGACTACGGGACGGTATCCCGGGAGATCCTTCGGTTTGGCACATAAGTTGGACTACGGGACGGTATCCTGGGAGATCCACTAGACAATTGAGAAAAGGGCTACAGGACGGTATCCTGGGAGACCCTCATTGTTATTCTTGGTATTGAGCTGTAGTCATTCTCTGTCCATTTTGTTCTTTGTGTTAGTTGTTATTATTTTGTTAGCATGTATTATCTCACTGCTGTACTCATTATTTCTGTCAGATTTTCATACTGTTAATTAATATTATATTTTACCTCAGTAGGGCCCTGACCTTCCTCGTCACTACCCAACCGAGGTTAGGCTTGGCACTTACTGAGTACCGTTGTGGTGTACTCATGCCCTTTCTGCGCATGTTTTTCAGGTGCAAATCCAGGTACCTCTTCTCAGGTGCACTATCCTTGAGGTGAGGAGATACACGGAGACTTCGAGGTATATCTGCAGCGTCCGCAGACCGAAGAGTCTTCTTCCTTATTCTAGTTGTAGAGTTGTTATCCTATCATACTTTTGATGTAGATATTCTGGAGATTAGAGTACTTATGGTAATTCTATTAGCCTGTGTTTTCCGTGAGTTTCCGGGTTTTGGGATTGAGTTGTAGACTTCCGCATATCTTTAGAGTTGTATAGGCCGGGCGGCCTTATGTTCAGTTGTTATTTTTCATATGCTCAGTTTTAATTGATTATTCCTCAAGTTAAATTGTTATTTCCGCACTGTTAGGCTTACCTAGTTGTAGGAACTAGGTGGCATCACGACATATTCATGGAGGGTGAACGGGGGTCGTGACACTTCCCTGAACTGAACATCTCTACTAACAAAAAAGGACCGTGTCTCCATATCATATAACCTGTATCCTTTCTGAGTTTCAACATATCCTGTGAAAATTGCCTTCCTTGCTCTTGGTGCAAACATGTCTCCCTTAGGCAGATTGCTTGCATTACATAGGCAGCCATATACCCTTAGATGATCCAACCTGCTAACCTTCCCATACAATAAATCAAAAGGTGTTTTTCCTCCCAAAACTAAAGAAGGTACTCTGTTGATCAAATATACAACAGTCTTCACACAGTCACCCCAAAATTTGATAGGTATCCCACTATGAAACTTTAGTGCCCTGGCTACTTCCAAGATGTGTCTGCGCTTCCTTTCAACCACCCCATTTTGTTGGGGTGTGTAAGGACAGCTACCTTGGTGTAAAATACCAAGAGATGACAATAATTCATTACACTGTGTATTGAAGAACTCAGTCCCATTATTAGATCTTACAATCTTAACACACACACCAAACGAATTCTGAATTAAAGACATAAAATTCTTCAACACAACACAAACTTCACATTTTGGCTGAATCAAACAAGACCAAGTGTATCTGCTGAAATCATCAACAACTGTAACAAAATACTTTTTTCTATCATAAGTGGGTACCTTATAGGGTCCCCAAACATCTAGATGAACAAGTTCAAAAATAGCTGAGGACTTAGAATTGCTGATAGGAAATGGTAATCTACATTGTTTAGCTAAGGGACATATAGAGCAAGATTCTAATTGTCTAGTATTTATTCTGCCTTATAGGGATGAAATTAGTTGCATAACTTTCAACGAAGAATGACCTAGCCTGAAATGGTAAAGTGCACTCTCTGTGTGTTCTTTTGATACTAATCCAACTGCTGCTACTGCACCTCTTTCCTTTATCATATACAAACCTCCAGACTTCTTACCAATCCCCAATACCTTGCCATTGTAGAGCTCCTGTAATAAACAGAAGTCAGGATAACAACCAATAAAGCATTTAAGGTCCCCTGTTAGTTTTGCTACAGACAATAGATTAAACTTAAAGTCTGGCACATATAGGACATCTCTGATGCACTGATCTCCTAGAATCACTGCATTCCCTGTGTGTGTTATCACAGCTCTACTTCTTGTTGGCAATTTCACTCCACTTCCTTCATTTGCCTGTAATCCTTTTGTATTGTTTATAACTTCTTTATTGCAAGTAATGTGATGTGTTACTCCAAAATTTACTATCCACTCTCTTAGAGAAGAACTGGATAATAAAGCAACAATACCTGCCATATTGATAGAACTCTCACCACCAGATGGCTTGTTCAGCAATCTCACCAGTTGTTTGTATTGTTCTTCTGTCAGGAAGTGTCCTTGTCCTTGTGGAAGGTTTCCACTACTGTTGGTTTCTTCCACAGCAACATTGTTGACATAAGTTTCCTCCTGCTCCTGCTGGTTTCTTTTTACTCTTGAAATCAGTTGGATATCCGACAATTTTGTAATAGTTTTCCTTTAGGTGTGCTTTGTACCCACAATGCTCACAGATTACTCCTGCTTTCTTAGGCTAGAAGCCTTGTGTTCTTCCTGCTAACATAGTTAGAGGATCTCAATTTTCATCACCAACACCCAAGGATCTTTGACTTCTTTCCTGTGTTACAATAGCATATGCTTCATTCACAGTAACTATAGGTCTTCTTAGCAGCATATTACTTCTCACATTACTATAGCTTTCATTCAATCCCATTAAAAATTGTAATAACCTCTGATTATCTAGATGTTCTATGGATGGCCTAGCTTCTTCACAATCACATGAAGACAAAGGAACTAACACATCTAGCTCACTCCACAAATCATTCATCTTCGAGTACTAAGTAGATACAGAATATGTACATTGTTTCAAACTGGCGATTTTTGTCCATAAATGATACTCCCTCCGTTCCAGTTTATGTGAACCTATTTCCTTTTTAGTCCGTTCCAAAAAGAATGAACCCTTTCTAAATTTGGTAACAATTTAGCTAAAACTTACAATTCTACCCTTAATGAGAAGCTTTTATAACCACACAAATACTCTGGGCTACTTTTTGACTTATTTAGGACCACAAATTCCGAAAGTCTTCATTTTTTCGTAAACTTCATGCCCAGTCAAACAGGTTCACATAAATTGGAACGGAGGGAGTATATTATAGTCAAACTGCATCTATAATACCTTTCCTTGAAATAGCTCCACACTTTCCTCGTACTAGACGCAAACATGATGCTGGGCATCAATTCAGCTACAACAGTGCTACCAATCCTTGAGAGTACAATCGCGTTGCACTTCTCCCATTGTTCTGTGAGTTCCCCTCTGAACATAGTTTTTACACAGGTTCCGTCAACGAATCCAAGCTTACTTTTGCCCATAAGAGCTAGCTTCATTGCTCTACTCCACAAGGCGTAATTCTCAGGCCCTGTGAGTTTGATTGGGACAACAACTCAGCCTGGTGCATCTGCCGCTTGAAGAAACAACGGATGATTGTGTTCGAGTGAAGAACCTCATTTCATTCCATCGCGATTTAGTCTAAAATAGTTAATTTTGTCCGGAAGTCACGTCGGAGCCCTAATTTCAGAATCCCAGCTCTGATACCATGTTAATTTGAGCTAGATTGAGCAATTGAAACACAACATAGCACATGCAAGAACAATTTCCATTGATTGAATTGGAAGAATCTAGAGAGAGAAAGATTGAGCTTCAGTTAGGAAGAAGGTCGGTTATGTACAAGTGAATCTTATTTCCAAATTTACTGTACTATATAACAACCTATTTTTCTTATACAACTAACTACCCCAAACATCCTATTATTACATTTTAACCCCTTACTCTTAAATTATCATGTCAATCACTGCCATTGACTCAATAACTACACTCACTCGCATGTTGATGCTATTGCTAGGTGGCGGTTTAAAACTTGACTTTGAAACCAACAAAGCAAACTTGGTTTTAGGTCAACAATAACAATCCAGTGAAATATCACTAGTGGGGTCTGGGTAGGGTAGTGTGTACGCAGACCTTACCCCTACCCCGAGGAGTAGAGAGGCTGTTTCCGATAGACCCTTGGCTGAAGAAGATGAAAAGAGACAGTATATCAGTACCATCAATAAACCTTAGAAAGAAATAACAGCATCACAAGAACATAGACGAAAAACAAAATAATAACTAGTAGATAAAGCCCGACACTAAGAGGAACAAAAGGGTATTGTAAACTTAACATTAACCACTAGTAGTCTAAGACAAAATCCTAATAGACTAGCCTCGCTCTGGCACACCGTAGCAATACGCATATCTACCTCCTAACCTACGATCCTAATGCTCGACCCCCACAACTTCCTATCTAGGGTCATGTCGAGCTGACAAATTATCTAATGAATTATTTTTATTGGTCCCAAGATTAAAATAGATAACCTTATATATGTATACAAGTGTCAATACTTTGGCAAGAAACTCATATCCAAACGTATTGCAAAGCCAGAACTTTTATTAAGGAGATTCAAAATATAAAAAGTAACATATAAAGAAGTTAAAGAGATTCAACAAATAGAATACATACATATATAAAAAAAAATTGATCCATTTATACAGTATAATTTTTCTGGGTGCCAACTGACTTCCCTTGATAAGGATAATTCTGCCATGCAAAATCTTGCTTGATATTTGATGCAACACTATAGAGCAAATAAATTCATTCCCCACGAAAGATACGAGTTTCACATACGAAGGGCCTCGCGTGTTAGCGATGATGCCACTATAGGAAATATGACCTATGACGATATTTAATTAATGATATTTATAATAAATGTCAGAAAAGGTTCATTTAGTAACATTTGTTAGAAAAATGTGCCAAAATACTAACATTTGATGAAAAATGACAGAAATAGTTGTGACGTTTGATTTAAATATCACATAATTAAGAATAAACCGACATTTAGTTAGTGATATGTGTAGACAAATGCCAAAAAATACTAATTTCAAAAGAAAGAGAAATTTTCAAAAACTTTCCACCCAAATCTCCCTCTCAAATCCCTAAAAAGAAAACCTATTTTCACAGCTTCTCTTAGAACAATTCAAGTTCAACTTTCCCCTCCCCAATTTTGCTATCCCATCCGAATCCCCCTGTCCCAACTATGAATCTCAAGAACTTTCAGGAATAGTAGTACGAAATGTACTCTCTTCTCCCTTAATCCTTCTCTTTCTCTACTGCGCATTGGAATAACTCCAGGTTAAAAAAAAAATTCTCTCTTGATTGGATTTGAATTCTTTCTTCTTTCTGCTGAGTGTTTTGATTTCTAAGAGGAATTCAATCATATTTATTTACTGCATTACTTGTGTCCTATGTATTTGTAGCAGAGTAATTGGGAGTTTAGGGTTTTGAAGCTTAATCTATGTTGTGATTTTATTTTGTGATCGTAATCATGTGGTGATTTGGAGATAGATTTGTGTGAATGGAAGTTGTGTGAGAATGTTATTACATAATATACTAATGGTGATATTACATTCACAGATTATGCCCTTCGACTGTTTGACAAAATCCATAATAGAGCACCTTAAACACAATGACCTTCCCTATTATTTATTCATTTCCAAATATGAACTAAATTGATGTGATTTTCTCAATTCTTGTCTGATTTCATCAGCTGCTGGTCAGCAACAAAGGATTTTTCAAATACTCAAGGCTACCTTCAAGTTATTTATCAAGATATAAGTTCTAGTTCTTCCCTTAAATGTCTTATGTTTCTCTCATGGTTCCTGTTGCACTACAAAAAGCTCAATTTAGAGATGTGTTGGGCCTATATGTTACCAAGTATTTGTAATCGTACAATTCGAAAAATAGTCAGTTGCAAGATCCTATTAAGAAGTCATCATGTATGCATAATAATATTATCCTGTGCGGAAGGAGAATGCTCGTAAGTAAACTTTATATCCATTTATATCATTAGCTATAGATACTAGGGTCTGCTTAGTTAGTATAGTGTGATAATTAACTCTTGGCTTTCGAAGGAGAAATTCTATGATGATAAGTCTATATATCAAAATATAGGGTGCTATTTACTTTGCTAATTGTTTCTGCCCCTATGAAAATTATGCAATTAGTTGAACATATTTAGAATTTACAAATGTCTATGCTGGTTGATTAGGTGAAGAATAAGGTTACACACATGTATTGGCCTTTGTGTGTATGATATGGAGTTGCAGTGTGAAAGTCCAGAGTGTGGCAACTTACTCTAAGGTCCTTGTAGATTTGATGGACAAACAACATCTTTCTTTCTTAAAATTATGAGTGTTTACTAAGGGATTTTGTTAATTGATGGCAGATAACTTATGAAGTTCTTCAACTGGTAGCCCTATAAGGATAAGGATACTCGTAAAAATAGTTGCACTATATTAATTCATTTTGTTAAATCATTCTTGCTTGTAGATTATGCAATCTTTGTTTGACTTTCAATGACCTGCTAATTTATTTCCCAGTTTATGAAAACATAGGTTGACAGTTGACTACCTCAGACAATCTTGTTGTCTCAATTCAATAGAGTATCAAATGGGTGGAAGCACGACAAAGCTGGAGCTAAATGGATGTAGCAGAAAAAGTGGAAGAAAAAGTTGAGGAAGTGAAGAAATTTGTTGTTGCAAAATTTGTTACAGTTCGCTTGAATCCAGCCTAATAGTAGCATTCTAGCTTTGTTTAGATGTAAGGACATGCAGATATTCACAAATACATTGTTGTAATTAGTTACAGAGATCTTCTGTCTACTCATTTTGTTACAGTTCAAATTGTCTATGTTGAATGACTTGATGTTTATACCTTCATGTATAGCAACAAATAATTTTAGTTTTATATTTATAGTAATTGTCCTCTTAAAGTATGTGCATATGTCAATGAGTAATTTTATTTAGCAACATGTATTCTACAAGTGTCGCTAATAAACTATTTTCCTGATACTTCTAAATATAGTAAGCAAAATAAGTTAGAAACCCGTATTAACTAGCCGACATTATGTGAAATGTCACAAATTTTAACGCGACATTTTCATAAAAGTTAGTAAATAAATGTCGGAAATCTTTTACTGACATTAAAATAAATGTCAAAAAATTACCGACATTAAAATTTATGACATTTGGACTAAGCGTCAAATAAATATGGGGAAGCAATTTTGTGACATTTATGTAACTTAACACGACATTTATAAAATATCGTCGTAGATCATATTTCTTGTAGTGTGTCAGGGATCAAGCTCGACACTAGGATCTATAATACGACAAAAAAAGAGTGGAGTTTGCCATATGATTCAAGAGAGATATAGCATAACTATAACAAGTGTTGGAAATCTAGTTTTGATGATCAACAAATATGTCGTCAACTTGTTTACCCATAAAACAGTACAGTTGAATTTATTACGCGTTTTATAGAAAAATGAACTTATATGATACAAAAAAGATAAATAAACTAGATTAAAAATAAGACTTAACATTAAAATCAAAGGAAATGGCATGCCCGGCTCCAGGAGCAGTGTCTCCGAGGATAGGAATAAGAACAATATGTAAGAACAAGTAAACTCATTGAGCTTGAGAACAGAATGTAGCAGAAGTTATGCCAAGAATTTCATATCCTTACAATGACCGTGTCTATTATTTATAGTTATACCTAGGGAAACAAGATCCTAGGATCAAGCCCCTCTTAAATGATAATAAAGAGGGCGACGGATGAATATGTAACGGCATGCCATGAATACCAATATTCTGCAACAACTGCCTATTTAATACTAGAGAATATTCTTTATTAAATGCCATCTGGTGACAAACATTCGACCCGCTCACGTTGATTATGCTCCCTTCGGGGCCTATCCGATGTCAACTGCAGCTGTTGTTCCCGGTCTTGGTACTTAGTTGATTTATCTTTCACCTGTCTCTGGTTACACGTGCCACGATATCATTTGATCATTTAATATAAATCAATTTTACCCTATACAAATAGTCCCCCTACTTTCAAATGGCATATCTTTGTGTCACCGAAAAGTTGGTGAAGATCCCTTTCTTGGCGGAAAATCTTCTGAAAACCTTCTGAACAGTCTTTGACGCTTGACAAGACGCACATCTTCTCGCATTTAATACCCTGAACACGTATTACCCCACGATTCAGCAATATTTTCGCTAGTTCTCAAGGTACTCATGACCACGATTTTAGCCGTTTATATCTTTACTTATACTCATCATTTTACCTCTTTTACTTCAAAAATTTTCATATGTTTTTTATCCTCTTTGCACTTGACTTTCTTCTGCTTTCATCTTTCTCCGATTCTTTTCAAAAAACTCTATTATCTTCTTACTATTATGGCTTCTTTTACTGAACTTCTTAAGAATTATGGTCTTCTCTTCGGTAGAGGCCTGAAGAAAAGCAAAGATAAAGTGGTTCATGTTGATGCTGGTCCTCCCACGGTAAGCACCATCACACCAAAACACTTAAGCACTGTCAATGACTCCTAATAGAAGTTTCCTTCTATTTCTTCACGGACTTGGGGCGTTAGCAGATATCCTTCTTCTATTCGCCCTTCTAGTATTCCTGTTGTGAAGGAGGATTGCAATTTCCCAAACCTTAACAATATCGATCCTGACTTGATAGAGCGAGTTACCTTCTCCAAGAAAGGTTTTACGTATGTCTATACCTATCCCTTCACCTTGAGTCCATATTCCTTGAGCGGGGGCTTTGACTGCGTGATCTTAGAGTTCTTTCATTGGTACCAGGTCTGCTTGGTATAAGTAGGACCCTCTATATGGAGAACGGGGGCTTGTCAGTGCCAATTGTGCACGGAGACGGGGAAAACACTAACCCTGGCACATATGATGAACCTCTACTCCCCCAAAATCTTCTGGGGGAGTGAAAAAATTTCAGTAAATGTGGCCACCACGCTCTTCTCACCAGCGTGGATGATGACAATGACCGTGGATGGATGGAGCGGTTTGTCATCATTGCTACCAGGGATATCATCCCGTCCATGACTCCATCCTTCCCTGAATCATGGAACCGTTCACGTAGGTTTGTATTTCATTCTTTCCTTTGTAAAAAAGGAACTTTTCCCTGTTATTGATACCTCTTTGTTCTCGTTGTTTTGTCTGCTCAGCGGACACCACCAAAGGTTCAAGGCCTAGACCAATGGATTCAGAAGATTCTGGATATTACAACTCCAAAAACCCGACGGTGGAAGGATATGGCCCCTAAGTATGGGTGGAAAGCCAAGAACCACGGTAAACCGATTCCTTCTTCCTTCTTCCTCCGCATGAACATAATTTAATTTATTAACTACATTTTTTTCTTGATTCACGTCTCCCGCAAGGCTCCGTTACCTGACCTCGAAGAGGATGTTTTGGCCGATCCTACGGAGGCTGCAAGATGCTCTCAGTCGGAGCGGTGCCCTCGGATCTTCCTCCAGTGCATGTGCTTCCTCTCAGAGTCCCCAACTAGAGAACAAGCAACCAAAAAGGTGGCGTTATTCCTCGACTGGGGATAAAAATAAGAAAATAAAGAAGGCCACGCCTGAGCGGCTGCAGCCACCGTGGTCATTGATGATGACAGGGAAGATAGTGATGAAGAGGTTTCCCTTCAACGGAGACAACGATCTTCATCAGCTCAACTGAATTCTCAATCGGGAGAGCTTAGAACCGCAACCGAAGGCGATGTCAGAGCGCTTTGGGGTGAAATGGATATAGTAGAGAATGTTGATTCTCTCTTCCGACTCATGTTACCATTTTCGGTCCTGTGAGGTCGGAGACCGGGCCTCTTTTTCCTTTAGTTGATGAGCAACCAATAAACAGCATGGCCCCTGTTGCAGCAGTTTCTCAACCTACAATGCCAACAACTTCATCCCCTCTACACCAGCTGCACCTTCTCCATCAGTAACTACTACATCTCTTCCACTGGCAACAAACGCCCGAGAGGAGGGTGCTTCTCCTCCCTAGTCTCCAGATCACAGGAATTTGAGGCACAATTACTCAACCCCTTCTCCAGATCCCCGACGAAGGAGGAGACTCTCTCGGTTTCGAAGATGTGCCATCTGCTGTCTAGGCTGGTGGAGCTTGCCAACTACCTGAAGCCTCTGGCTTCATAGAAAGATAAGAAGAAGATACACTCGCTTTCTGGGGAGTGCATGTTCGACAACTCCATGCACAATGCGGCAGCAGTACCGTACTTGTTCTCATACTGCTTGTTCTTTGTTTATCTGTTATAATGGGTTTTCTCACTTTGATATACGTTTTGCAAGCCAACTTCCTTGCGTACGAGGGCCTTCAAAGATTGATCCTTGATAAAGAACGACTTATCTCCAAGCGGGATCAGCTGTTGGCCGAGAGGGGCCAACTTGTTGCTCTCCTCCCGGTACTTGAAGCAAAGGCTCCTGAGGCGAGTGAGCTTGAGGCCCGGTTGCAGCTAAGCGAGCAGGAAGTGATGTCCCTTAGCCAAGAAGCCACTCGGCTAAATTTACTGTTACAAGAAGCTAAGGCTAAGAGGATTGAGGTTCAAGATGATGTGCTTGCTACTGTCGAGCGCGAGTCTGCTTCCATTGAACGAGTGAATAATTTGGAGGTAACCTTGAACTCCAAAGCCAAGGAGGCTACTGCTTCTGAGGAGAAGCGGGCCCGGAGGAAAGAGAGATATATGAAGATCATGGAGCAAAACCGATTTCATATATCTACAATCCGTGATCTTGATCTTGGCCTTGGCGCCACAAGATCCGAGTGGGATGGCCTTTTGGCCGAGGTTGACGGACTTAAGGAGAATATCCAACACGAATGGGATTCCCTCATCTTTGAAAAGACATACTCTATGTATCATATGATGAGGAAAACCTTAGAGGATGCCAAAGCGGGCATTGTTGATATTGATGATGAAATTGCCAATGCCTGAGCCCTAGAGTTAACTGCTCGAGAACGTCTCCCAACTCAGCCTAATGCAACTGACGCTTTGTGTACTGGTTCTGAGTATTCGAGAACTGAGGAGGAAATTGAAGAGGATGTGATGAAGGCCCGGGTCCCGTACCGGTGGCTGATCTGCCCACTTCTCCGGGGGTGGGGGTGGGGCGTAGATGCCTCGCTCCCCCTCTGGTGGTGATAATGTTTAGAGTTTTCTTCTTTTCTTTTGTTGTTTTCTTTTGTATCTTTATACTTATGTTGTTTGGCATTTTGATAATAAAGAAGACTTTTGCTTAAATATTGCTCAAAGTTTTATTCTTTTTGCGTCGAATTGAATAAGGCTTCAGGTGTATTTTCATCCATTAGCTTTTCGTTCTGGGCATAAACTCTTCTGGAATCAACCCTTTACTATGAGGGTTTCATAAGAGAGGGCCCTCTTATATTTACGGTGCTCTTGAAGAGGATGTCTCCTGTTCATTTTGGCACAAGCATTTGAAGTTTTTGTTAACTTTCAAATGATAAACTCGTCCTTTGGACAAGAAACAAGATAAAATAAAAGGACTTTATTTTATTCCTTCTATCTTCAAAAGTGCATAAGCATTCGTTTTCAAAAAAGGAAGACTACCAATACATGTGGCTAACTTGTACAACTTGTTTCTACGGGGCTGGCCGTGTAGTCCCCGATCCTGGTGAGGCAGTATTGTTCTCGGGTCTCGTAGTCCCGATTTTCTTAGCAATCACGTTGCTGTATTCTCATACTATGCCCCCCTTCAGTGTTCAAATGAGAAGTATGCGAATTGGAACACTGGAAGTCTTACTCCGTTGGGAAAAACACTTGTGAACGATTGAATAATCTTTGGTTCGATTGCAAGATTTGCTTCCCATTAGGATTTTTGCCATTGAGCCAAAGATTATTTAACCATCCCATAGTGTCTCATCATA